GGGGTTAGGTACTCCAGGGGCGGCGCCAGCAGCTCCTCGGGCGCCGGGGCCGCGGGGCTTACGGAGGATGTGGGCGGGGGGATGGAGAAGAGCTCCGTGAAGTTGGGCACCGAGTCGCTGATGAATGTCACGTTTCCATAGACGTGCTGCGGGAAGGCCTTGTCTGCGGATTGGCTCCCGCCGGGTGCCGGGACTCCAGCCGAGGCGATCTGCGACGTTCGCACGTGGTATGGGAAGTTCTTGTTGGCGGCGGACGGGCGGGTCATGATCTGGGCAAGAAATCAGGTGCAGGGTAGAGCAGCAGTGTCCAAGCCCCAGGCTGTGTGCATGAATTTTGGAATCTTAAATGATTCCCCTCTGCTTGACCGCTCCAAACTTTCCTTGAGCCAGCAGACTAAACACCTGGTAGGGGGTGTCTCCTGCATTCTGAGCTTTTCCTTCCACACGCCCCTAATTATTCTGCCTGTCTTTCCTCCACCTCAATCCTAACCATTGGATCATCACTGACTGATTAGGGTCAGTGTCCTGTGCTGTCCAGTATGATAGCCACTAGCCAAATGTGGCTTAATTTCAATAAAAAAATTTGCTTCCCTGAGTTCAGGTCCCAGCACTCCAGTTCTGAAGGATCCTATGCCCTCTTTTGGCCGCCATGGGAATTGCACACACGGGTGCACTTGAGGAAATGCAAAACACTCATACACACAAAATAAAAATAAATAAATAAATTTTCTTTTTGGTCTTTCTGGAGATAGGTTTTCTCTGTAGCCACAGCTGGCCTGGCTTCGCTATGGAAACCAGGCTGGGCTCGAACTCACAGAGATCCACCTGCCTCTGCATCCCAAGTGCTGGGATTAAAGACCTGCAGCACTACACCCTGCTAAATAAATAAATAATTTATTATTTTTTTTATTTTATGTGTATGAATGTATTGCCTGCGTGTATTTGAGTGCACCGGTCAGAGGTCAGAAGAGGGCTGAGTCCAGAACTGGAGTTAAGGACAGTTTGTAGCTGCCATGTGGGTGCTGGGACTCAAACCCTGGTCCTCTGCAAGAGCAGTCAGTGCTCTTAACTACTGAGCAATTTCTCCAGCCCCAATAAATAAATTTTTTAATATTTTGGTTTTTGCTAGGTGTGGTGGCCCACACCTGGAATTCCAGCACTCAGGAGGCAGAGAGAGGTGGATCTCTGTGAGATCAAGGCCAGCCTTGTCTACATAGCAAGTTCCCAGGGCCCTGTCTCAAAAAAAAGAAGGAAGGAAGAAAGAAACAAAGAAACCAAAACATAAATTTTTGTTCAAGTGCTCATTAGGCACATTATTGAAGAACGCAGATAATAGAATAGTAGGGTATTTTCTTATCTGTTCTTTTGTTTTGTTTTTAAGATGGTCTCGTGTAGCCCAGGCTGGCCTCAAACTTGCTGTGTAGCTGAGGATAACCTTGAACTCCTCATCCTTCCACTTCTACCTTCCTAGTGCTGGGATTACAGATGTACAATACAATGCTTGGCCTTAGAATATTTTCATAAATACAGAAGTTTCCATTAAACAGCAATTAACAGGCCCTAGAAAGCCAACTCCATGAAGGCACCAACTTGACTTTTTTTCTGAGAGATGGTCTGGCAGTGTAGCAACCTCCTGCCTCAGCTTCCCAAGAGTTGGTTGCATGTGGGGCTGTCTCTAGGTGTGGCTCCATCACCGCACTCCAGAGCCCCAGCACAGCCTCTCTAAGGTTGTGCTGAACGCAGTGAGTACTTGGGAAGCCAGAGCTGTGCTGAGCTAAGCTAGGCATTTTCTCAGAAGGAAGCTAGCTGAAGGTGAAATAACAGCAAGGGTGCTTCACTTGGCATTCTGAGTCAGCATTGCTCCTCTCGGCCCCATCTTGAACCTAGTGTGGGATCTGGGGCATGTTGATTAAACAACCTGAGCCTCACCAGCCAAAAAGGATCATAGCACCTATCTGGAAAGATGAGAGGGTGGAAATGAAAACCACTGGTGCAGAGCCTCGTGGTGGGTTCTCAGTGTTTCTTTCTATCCCTTTTGGACTTCCTGCAGAGCTTGAAGATACAGAACCCAGGTGAGCAAGTCTGCACTTAAGTGAGGCTCTGAAGTGGAGGGTGGTACACCTGGCCCTTCCCTCAAGAGCAGAGTGCACTCCCTACAGGCATACATGGTGGATCTCGGGGGTTAAGAACTGGAACCCTCAATGATACCTATTTCTTTTTTGTTTGTTTGTTCATTTTATTTTATTTCTTTTGGGTTTCTTTTTATGTGTACGAATTTTGTGCCTACATGTAAGTGCACCCCTGTGTGCAGTGCCTTGGGGACCAGAAGAGGGTGTTAGATACCCTGGAACTGGAGTTAAGGATGATGTTAGCCACCATGTGGGTGCTGGGAACCAAACCCAGGACCTCTGCAAGAGCAGCCAGTGCTTTTAACCACTGAGCCATCTCCCCACCCTCTATTTAGTTTTGTTTTGAGGTCCCATGTAGCCCTGACTGACCTCAAAAAGGCTATGTTGCTGAGGTCAATGATGATGGAGGTCAAGATGACCTTGAACTCCTGATCCTCCTGCCTCCACTTCCTGAGTGTTGAGATTACAGGCATGTGCCATCACAGAAAATTTAATATTACCTATTTCTCTTTGTGGCCTTCCATGTGAGACCTGGTGATCTGCCAAAGAACAGGGTTCATAGTACCTGCTGTGCCACCACAGGCCATAGAACCCTGACAATTCATCTCTTCCTTCAGGGCGTTAGTTTCCACTCTCTGTAGAGTAGGTAACGATGACTCTAGGCTGTCTGACAATTGAACAAGAGGGCCAGAAAAAAATGAGCATGGATATATCTAGAAAGATACAGGCTAGAGCAGGATATCCTGGTGAATGCCTGTAATCCCACAATGCAGTAGACTGAGGAAGGAGGATTGCTGTAACTTCAAGGGCAGCCAGGGCTACATAGCAAGATTCTGTCTCAAAAAACAAACAGAAAAAAAAAAACAAAAACAGGCTGTTTCAAGACAGGTGCCCAGTGAACAGCTGATAGATGGATGGATGACTTAATAAAT